GCTACACCAACAGAACTCCATGGGCTGTAGACTGCTTACCTACAGAGCAGCAGAAGCTGGCAAGATTTTAGAAGGGGTCAGAGAAAGCCAAAAGTGAGGCTTGGAAAACCTTCTTAGGTGATTCCAGAATGTCCATTCATAACCGTCAAAGCTGAGCCCCTGCCTGAAACGATGCTTTCCCACACTCAGGACAGGGGTCCTCAGCCAGAATCTCAGGTCTAGAAACCCTCTCAAGCAAGTGACTAAATCAGCCACCACTCCATCCTCCTTTCACCACCCTAACTCCCACCTTGTGTCTATTTGTTCTCTGCCCGCATCACCAACACCCTCCCCTCCACAACCTGCCATTCTGAAAACATCTCAAGATACAAAAGCTAACTTCACCCACCTTGCTCAAAGGCTAGAGAAAGCTTATCTAAGACAATAAAGACAACAGTTATAAGGCAGTGAGGAAATTCGTTTTTTGTTTTTTGTTTTTTTCATTTGAGTCATTATGTGAATTTGATCTCTGGACGTGATTTTCCACTGTTGAGCTTTACAGCTAAAGCTTTAAGCCGTAATATTTTGATAGGAAGGATAAACAGAGGCGAAATCTCAGGACAGGCCTGCTGCTGGGAAGCCAGAAGGCATTTCTGGACTGGGATCAGTAGTGACCCTCTCTTCACCCTGCTCTTGGCTAGCTTTTGTCTTCTCATTTGAGCTTCTGTAACAGGGGTTCCCAACCCCTGGCCGCAAATCGGTACCGGTCCGTGGCCTGTTAGGAACCGGGCGGCAGGCACTGTTGTAAAGGCTTTACGTATATCCAATCATTTAGTACAGGAACTTGCTCGAGTGAAGGAACCGTTACTTCTCTCCCCACCTCCTTTAGATCCGGACACTTAGGACCTCTCCCCACCGGGTGCCGCAATCGCTCACGTCTCAGATTGCCCCGCCCCCAAGCTATCCTCGCCCCGCCCACTCGCCGTCGCGTAGTGAGGAGCCGGTCGCGCCTCACTGACGTCACCAGCGCGCGCCCTCGCGGCTGCTTTTCGCCGGGCGTGCGAGTCCGTTGATTCCAACTTCCCCGCGATCGGGCTGCCCAGTAGCCCTAGTTGCTCAGGTCCGGAGGTCCGTGGCGTCACAGGCTCTGCGACATGTCCATGCTGGCTGAGCGTGAGTGTTGGGCGAGAAGGCCCGACCGGGGCGCGAAGGTGGAGGTTTAGGGTAACTCGCGTGGCCAGACCCAGTGGTAGGGCGTGCGGGTGGGCGACACGCAATGAGGTGGAAAGTGCTGGGGGCGGGGACACTGGGAAGCCGGGTTCACTTCACTCTGCCTGCTGCGGAGATTTCCCAGCCCAGCCTGCTAGTGAAAGAGACTTTGTGAATGTCACGTTCAATAATGAGCACGCGCGCAGTGGGTTTGAATGAGTCAGGACACCGGTCGTGGGAACCTGGACCGGTTCTTTTCATTTCCCCGAGCCTCACCCAGCCTCCTAGGTTAAAATGAGGAGGTTAGGCAAAATCTCCTTAGGCAGTGAAATCGCATTCTCGAAGATGTGTTGAATCCAGACAAAGAAAAGCAAAGGGATTAGGAGCATCACATACAGGAAGTTAGCTCCTTTGTAGGGAGTGCAGGGCTAATGAGTTATTCTAAGTAAGACTTTGGCTATTTTGACTTTGTGGAAATTAGAACTCTTGACACGAGTGTAAGCCACAGTGCCCCATCCTGCCTCGGTTTGCCTTTGATATTTACTGTCAGTTCATTAATTCTCCGGATCGTCTGTTTAACTTCTGAATGGTAGCTGTAGCTGAGATTTCCTGCCACCAGAGGGCAGTCGTGCTTTAGTCATGAAGAGATGCCCATAGCGTTTTGGAAGAGTGTAGTGAGCGATGAACAGAAACTGCTTACTGAACGAGACCAACAGCAGCTACACAGGGATTTTGTGAAATAAATGCTGTCAGCATCCTCTTATCTAAGGAGATGGAGGAATGTAATCACAAAACAAAATGGATTCACCCCAAATCATTGAGCTAGAAAGTGAAAAAATTGATGTAGTTATATCTATATTTTTATGTTCTTGCTAGGACCTGCAGTTTTCTACTGTTTTTAAACAGGGACTCATAGAAAGGAATACGTTTTAGATGGTGACCTTAGAGCCTAGATCCCTGAGCTTTCTTCCAGTTTTAATATTCTTTGATGTGTGTTTAATTCAGCATGCACTAGGGAACATTGGCCCTGGCTCTGCTATTCATTTATATCTCTTCCCGTGACCAGCTTCTGTGGGGCTATTAAAAACTTCATTTATTATCTTCTTTGCTAGGTTGCTTTAAAAAAATCAATCAGATGGTGAATGTGAAAATAGTTCAAAGTATGAAGTGGTATACAGGCGTAACATCTATTTGTAGACATCAATAATTCAAATTGCACGATTTCAAGGGAATATTTTCAGTTCTCTACCCACCATGATTACAGATTTTCAAATCTTTGTCATGATATTACATACTATTTTGTGGTTTGTTAAAAATTTTGCTAAATTAATGTCTTTGGCATCCCTTACGATTAGATATTTAGGAATGGTATTCTTATTTTAGAGATGAGAATATGGAAGCATAGAAAAGTTCTAGTCCCATAGTTTCACCACCCAGCAATTATTTTCTCTGATAGTTTATAAAATTGAGGTCATTCTATAAATACAATTCTGTATCCTACTTTTTTTTTTTCCTACTTAATGTTAGTAGTGAACATTTTCACTTCTGGAAGTGGACCATATTTTCTTTTATCTTCACTACAAGCACTTATTCTATTTTTAAAAATCTTATAGTAATTTTCTTTGTGTTTCTCAAAAACACTCTTTATCCTGTGTTTCTCTAAGTATCAAATGTTACAGACAAGAAAACCAACTTACACAAACCTGCGCCTTTGTAGGACAAGAATTTCATTAATCACTCTCACTTAATGGTCTTTATATCATTTGGAATTTTAGACCCAGATTATTATCAAGGTATGACTTTTTTTAAACTCTTTTTCAGACCAATTTTTGATACTTGGAATCATTACATTTTATAATTAAAATAATAATTAAATCACAACACTAGTTAATGGATTTTAATGCTCATTGCATTAAAATATACTGTAGTTTTCTCCATTTTTAATGTCTTGAATGATTTTTTTAATAAGAATACATAGGTTGTATATTTTATGCTCTTGAATATCTGAAAATGTCTTTGGAAAAAAAAGAGAAAACTTCTGCCCTTGTCCCTTGGAACTCAACACACCTTTCAGAGGAAGCTGAATCCTGGCATAAGCCATGTAGTATTAGGCATGCGGTAATGAAAGGCGAAGTCCCTTGTAGCTGTCCTATGAAGGTGGTTTATTGGCGTTACCCCTAAAATATCCTGACAGAACCATTTACAGTTAGATCTCCAAATAGGAGGAGTCCCCGCTGGAGGATGGTTAAACACATCATTCTAGACAGTGATTCTGAAGATTCTGGGCACTGTGCCCTGAGACCCAGTGTCCCTTACACTGCTGTTCCACATAGTGTCAGGTATCCCCAAGACCATCCCCAGATTCAGTGATTTGCTAGGACTCAGGACACAGGATTCAGCATATAGTTGTAATCATGGCTAAGTTTTGTTACAGCCTAAGGATACAGAGCAAAATCAGCAAAAGGAAAAGACCCATGGGGCAAAGTGCAGGGGAACCAGGCACAGACTTCCAGAGTCCTCTCTCAGTGGCACACGTGACATGCTTAATTCTCCCCGGTATGAGTTGTGGTAACACGTGTGAAATGCTCCCTACCAGGGGAGCTTGCTATACACTCAGTAATTTTTTTTTTCAGCCCAGGGATTTTTACTGGAGGCTTGTCTCGTAGGCAGCCACTGCCTGGCATGTACCAACATCCCAGACTCCCAGAAGGAAAGCAGGCGTTCAGCATAAACCATACTGTTTGTTTGAACAGTTGGGCATAGTGAGCCTCTCTTAACATTTCTGAGAATAGTAGGAATCCTGAAATCCAAGTTCCCAGCCAAGGGCCAGCCTTGCTGGGAAGCCTTTTGAAGGGAAGCTGTGAGTCAGGCCTGCTGTGTTAGCTCTTTTCTGTACACAGGTATTGGCAAAGCTGACATCCGAGCACAGAATGGACGGTGGAATAAGAGTAACATGGCACATGTAAAAGTAGGTGTAATCTGAAAAGACCAGAGACAGTCTTTTCCTTGCCAGGATTTCCCAAACCCGGAAACTTTTACAGCACGAGAGCCAGATAGTGTTCCAGGCAAACAGGGTTCTGGTCAAATAAGGGGAACATGGCAGTGCTGCTCTGTCTTCCACTCAGAGGACCTACACATTTGCATATTAAAAGTCTGAGAAAGTTTGTAGTCTGGAACACTATTAAATTTTGTTTGATCCAGTGTTACTCTTTTTTGATTTGGGAAGTCCTTCCTCACCTTTAACATCTCATTTGGGAAACACAGCCCTGCCGCACTGGTTGAGGGATACCTGCCATTTTTCTGGGGAAGAGCGCTGACCTTGGCTACCCATCTAATCTCTCATGTAAGCATTACATTCTGCTGTACGTACATACGTGACATACACGGTGCAGTTCAGTCATTCTCCGACGATCTCCTTCATACAAGCAACAGTCAGAGGGCCCTGACAAGCACTACTGTAAGAGACATGAACCCTGACACACACCCGTCCGCAGCCTACAGAGAGAACACTGGTTAACAAGGCTGATCTGTGAGGTGGTGGTCATCAGCGGAGGCAACATTATGCTGAGTATTTACTAAGATAAGTAAAGCGATAACTCAGTCATGAGTAGCATTTTTGGGTCACCATTTTCCTGGAAAACACTATAAATTTTGGCCCAACTTGTTTTGCTTTATAAATAGCTTTTTTTCTGCCTGCATGTTTGTAAAAGGTTCACTTATTTTTGTTAAGGTGTGTATAGTTATGGGTCTTTTTATTGATTTTACATGCAGTACAGTAAGCCTCTCTGAGTGGAGGTTGTGTTATTTTTTTAAAAATTATTTTATGATATTGGGCTTCAATTGGTTCAGTAGGTGAGTGATAATGACACTTGACCTCCAAATTTCTCACTTGGCCACAATTTACTTTTGAGTTTCATATTCTTTTTCTGTGAACTTCTGAGGTGTCTGCCATAATTTTCCTTAAAACTACAACGATAAATTTGGATTCCCAATTTATATGCATTTAAAAAAATACTTTGAAGAGACTCAAAGTAGTCCCTTAATTCAGTTATGTGTGTGGAGGGTACAGTTGACTCTTCCCCCGGGAGCATAATGACTATTGAATGTTGCGGACTAAGAATACAAACTTTGACAGCAGAAGGACCTTGCTTTGTGTAGAGGCTCTGATTTTTGCTTGCGGACGTTAGCCACATTTCTTTCTCTAAGCCTCAGATTTTCTCATCTGAAAAGTGGAGCTAAGAATATTTGTCTTCATTGAATGACTCTGAAAATTGAATCTAATAATGTGTGGATAGCATTTGGCACGTAATATATGGCAACAAAAACTATAACAACTGCTGCTGTTGCTGCTGCTGCTACTGATGGTGATGATGATGATGACGTGTCTACAGGTGCTTTACTAAGTTGCTGCCTTTAGCTTGAATGTGGAAGGCCCAACTTATGGTATAACTGTGTATTTCGATTCGTCACATTTGGAGGGAATATCTTAATTTTTGTTTTATAAGATTAATTTATATGTTAAGAATATATAGTTATTGGGGAAACCAGGGTAAATGATCCAATCTGATGCAGAATCTGATATCTGCATTTAATAAGACATCAAGCATGTCATAGTTTATACAAGTATGTGTATATTAGGTATGTGTGTATTTGTGTGATATTTTCCAGGTTTGAAAGATAGGTTGCTAATGAGATACTTTATCATTTACAGGTCGGCGGAAGCAGAAGTGGGCTGTCGATCCAAGAAACACTGCATGGAGTAATGATGATTCCAAGTTTGGCCAGAGGATGCTGGAGAAGATGGGGTGGTCCAAAGGAAAGGTATTTTGCATAAAAGCAAAAGAAATTTGATCCATACAAAGAGATTACAAATCAGAAGAATGCATTTTTTTTTTTTGGACACTGGTAGAAATTTACGTTTTGGTTAAATAAGTGAATTTGGAGAAATAAATAAATTGTAGTGACTTTGCGATTATGAAATTAGAATGGAACATAAATATCAACTCTTTTTATCATTTAAACTGTATGATTAGCATCTTTTATAGACAATGCCCTTTAATTATTTTCATTTGGAATCATACTTACCCATCAGAGTTTTATATCGTCAGGACTAATAGTAGTTTATTATACATTTTCTCCTTTTCCTCACATTCCATTTATTCCTGACTCAAATAGGACTTCTGCTGACATCTCTACACTGAAATGGTTCTTGTCAAGATCTTTAATGATCTTTTCGCCAAGCCAATGGACCCTTCTTTGTTCCCACATAATCTCTTAATAGCATTGGGCATAATTGACTGCTTCCTTCTCGAAATACTTGTCTTGCCCTCCCTCCTGGTTTTTCCTTTTGCCTCACTGGTCACTCCTAAATTTAATGGTGACTCTTCCTCTTCTAGTCTTTTGAGCTTTGGAACTCCTTGGGGTTCAGCCCCAGACACTTTTCTGTCTCTGCTCAGATGAACTCATTCATTCCATACCATACTTTGAATTATCTAAATTACGAGAATTATCTAATTCTGTCACTTTTCTGTATCTAGTCCATTTCTGTCCTTTGAGCTCCAGATTTATAAATTGATCAGCCTGCTTAACATTTCCACTTGAGTAAGCATATCAAGTTTATCATTTTTATTATAAAACTCTTGATCCTTTAGATCTTTTTCTTCTCAAATTTTCCCCATGTTTGCATATTGTTAAAGAATCAGTATTCATTATTGTAAGTACATCCTTGGTACCATAGATGTATCTTGTAAGAATCCATTAGACTGTGTCCTCTTTGAGAGTACAGATATTGCCTTGATCCTAGATGTTTAGTAATTAATTGAATGGTTGATGAAGAAACATAGAGATAATCACTCTTCATACTTGATTTTAAAAAAGCTAACTTTCTTTATGTTTAATATCCACAGGGTTTAGGGGCTCAAGAGCAAGGAGCCACAGATCATATTAAAGTTCAAGTTAAAAATAACCACCTGGGACTTGGAGCTACAATCAATAATGAAGTGAGCAACAGTGTGTCTGCTGGGGGGTTTCCTTGGATAATTGACTTTTTAAATAAATTTATAAATTTTAATTCAATAGAATTGATTGATCAGTTTTTAACCATTCAAATGTGTATCCCCCACATTTTGGTTAAGTAAAGAGCCTGTAACTAAGCTGGCTCTTCATCAAGTGTCATCCTCTCACCTTGCCTTATTGTCCTTATGGGATTCTTTATTTATGTCTAAGAGACTCAAATTAGTTTTATTGCTAAACTTTTCAAAAAGTATTTTTTATAGAAATACTCATTTCAGGACAGACAGGAATTTTCATCTTTACCTGTGTTCTAATATTAGCTTATATTATTATAAGTTGGTGACATTTAGTTCCAGAAAGAAACTAAAAGTTTCCTTTGCAAGAAAGTGGTGTTCTTTTCCTGTCCCATTTTCTATTTCTGACTATTGCCATACACAGTTGAATTTAGTCACATTTCCTCTTAAGCACTGACACTTTGAAAATATGACACTGTAATTAAAATTAATGCCTGGCTTATCATGCTTTGCATTTTCAATATTTTCTTTAGCAAGTGTCCAAACTGAAAGCTTTGTTCTTAAATTTTTACAACTAAGAGAATCTGGTAGAAAATTTAGAGAATTACTTTAGTTAAACTAAATTGCAGTTGACCCTTGAACAATGTGAGAGTTGGGACGCTTACCCCTGCGTATTTGAAAATCCAGGTATAACTTTTGACTCTTTAAAAACTTAACTAGTAATAGCCTACTGTTGACCAGAAGCCTTACAGATAACATAAACAGTTGATCAATACATATTTTGTATGTTATATTCAGTATATACTATATTCTTACAACAGAGTAAATTAAAGAAAAGGTTATTAAGAAAATCATAAGGAAGAGAAAAAATATATATGGTATTTCTCAGGGGTGGGGAGAAGCATGTAAGTGGACCCACACAATCCAAACCTGTATTGTTCAAAGGTCAACTGTACTTTGATTAGTTCAATAGCACTAACTGAGTAGGAGACTAGATAAGCTAAAATTTTCTGGACTAACAGCTAAAATTTTAAACAACTAAAGAAAGAGTTTATATAAGTCTGATATTGAAGGTAGGTGTTGAGAGATAGATGTATAGATACGCTTGATTTTTTAGGAAAAGCATTGCCCAGTAAACCTATTAAATATGCTTAAACCTTTAAGCAGTCTTAAAAAAGTGTGTGTGAGGCAAATTCCTACATTGATACCTTGCTTCCCACTGGTTTAGATTATTTTGGAGATGTTCATTCTCTCTTAAAGCCAGATTCTCTTGTTATAATGAACTGAGTAGCTTAGCACCTTACAAATGTGTGCTGACTGATTCAGGGAACTCGTAGTCCGTCCTCTTCCTTTCCTCAGTGTTAACTTTGTAAAACTGGGTTTGATGCCAGCACATAGAATTGGGCAAAATATATGAAGTTCCAAATGAACAAAGAAGAGAACCAAGTCCACCACCGCTCTTTTCTTTGACTTACATAATTTTCCTGTAGTGAAGAAAAACTATTTTGTTTTATTTTAATATTTAGCATGTAGGTTGCCTGTTGATTATTTGTCTGTGAATTGACTATTGATAAATTATCCACATTTGAAATCAGGACTTGAGCTTCTAAGGAACCCACTTTTAATACTAATGCAAATAATTTGCATTTCAAATTTTATTATATCTTCTCTGTTCAGATTTATAAAATATTTTGATGAAACATTTAAAATTTCACATTAACCAGATTTCCTTGATTCCAAGATAACTTTTCTCAACCAGCGTAGCTAAACTACAGACTTGCCTCTAATTGGTTGTTTTTGGTATTTTCAGGACAACTGGATTGCTCATCAGGATGATTTTAACCATCTTCTGGCTGAACTGAACACTTGTCATGGTCAGGAAAAAACAGGTAGGGAAACCATTGCTTTGTTTTCCATTAGATTTATAGTAGACATAATCTTTAAATTTAAAATATTTTACCAACTTGTTTTGCTATAAGCATCATACTATTGAAAGTTAATTGATTGACGCTATTACAAATAGTCATTTGTTTACATTTTAATGGTGCTTTCATTACATAAACCTTAAGTTATAAGCAAACACTTTTTTTCCATTACGAGTTTGAGAATGGCAAGATAAATCCATTTGTTTTTCAACCTCAGATAGTAAAGTGATCTTTCTGGGGATCCATGAGTATGACTAGAACATGTTTTAAAAATACAAAACAAGAAGTATCAAGTGGAACCATAAATTGGCAGCCAGCAAAAGACTTAATAGTAAAGCCTTTTTAGTGTTGTCTCTACCTAGTGAAATTTGTTTTACCTTTTAATGTATGTAAGAGATTCAGATTGCTTGGATAAATTTGTTGCAAGGGACTCAGTACTAAAAATTGTATTCTAAGTTATAGAAACTAGAAGTGAAACAACTGAATATTGGTCTTTCCATAGTAAATTGACAGAAAGATAGTACAGTTGGAGGAAGGACACGGATAGTGTACTCAAATTTGTGAGCCTTTGGTATGACTTTAGGTTTTTAAAGGAAGTTTTTTGTCACATGTTTATTTGGAAGGCAAGGACATAACTTCAGTTAATTCTGCTGGATATTCACTGAAGAAATCTAGACTATTAGCCCCTCTACAAACATTTTTTTCACCCTCTTTAATTCCCTCCGCCCAACTTCCACCCTTTACCTATGGATGTTGCCGTCTCTCCCCTTAAGAACTGGATCTCTGAAGGCGGGACGTCGCCTCCCATGCGCTCACAGCGCATACCAGGGGCCAAGCACAGCCTGGGCCTGGCACACCCGGGGGCCTGTCTGGCGCTCCTGGAGCCTGACGCATCCAGGGTATGGGCCGTGGCTCCCCTGGGGCTCGAACCCAGGACCTTCTGCGTGTAAATCAGACGTGCTAACCACTACACTGTGGAGCCACTCCCCAAACATTTTTTTTAATTGTGGTAAAATACACACAAAATTTGCTGTCTTAACCATTTCTAAGTGCACAGTTAAGTGAAATTAAGTGCATTCACATTGTTGTGCTACCATTATCACAATCCATCCAAAGAACTCTTCACTTTGTAAAACTGAAACTATACCCTTTAAACACTAACTCCCCATTCCTCCTCCTTCTAGCCCTTGGCAGCCTCCATTCTACTTCTGTCTCTATGAATTTGACTACTCTAGGTACCTCCTGTAAGTGGAATTATATAGTATTTGTCCTTTTGTATCCGGATTATTGCACTTAACATAATGTCTTCATAATGTCTTCTGGATTATTGCACTTAACAAACTTCAGGGTTTGTTCATTCATATTGTAGCATCCAGTGTCGCATCATTTCCTTCCTTTTAAGGGTGAAAATGTCCCATTTATGTATATATCACATTTTTTTTTAATCCATTCAGCCATTGATAGACACTTGGGTTGCACCTCTTGGCTATTGTGAATTATGCTATGAACATGGGTGTATAAATGTCTCTTCAAGTCCCTGCTTCCAGTTGTTTTTGGTATATGCCTAGAAGTAGGATTGCTAGATTGTATGGTAGTTCAATTTTAAAAATTTCGAGAAACTACTGTATGTTTTCCATGGTGGCTGCACAGTTTTATATTTCCACCAACAGTGCACAAAGGTTTCAGTTTCTCCACATCCTTGCCAACACTTGTTAGTTTTGTTTTTTTGATAGTTGCCATCCTACTGGGTGTGAGGTGATAACTCATTATGCTTTAGATTTGCATTTCCTTAGTGATTCATCATGTTGAGCATTTTTTCATGTACTTGTTGGCTATTCATATGTCTTCTTTGGAGAAATGTCTTTTCAAGTCCTTTGCCCATTTTTGAATCATGTTTTTTTGTTGTTGAGCTATATTCTGCAAACATTTTTATAAGGAATCTCTAGTCCTTTCACACAGTGTTGGCATGTAGTGAACGGTCAAAAACTGTTAAATTGAAGGAAAAAGAACTTTGTGGAGTGAAATTAAAAATTAGACTTGAGTTCAGCAAACATTTATTGAGCTGTGTGTTGGATATGAAGTTAGACTCGAGTATGGGCGGATGTATGAGACATAATCTCTGCTTAGGAGGGTATGCTAGTAATTGGTAAAATTACAGCACAAATCTAACTGTGGGAAGACCTGTTGCGGTGCTGTGTATGCGAGTGATCCCAGAAGCGTGAAAGGTGTTCTGTTTGTATTTTCCCTAATCGGCTTAGACTTCTTGTTAGAATCTCTAACTTGGACAGTTTTCCTTATCCGTGGGATAACTATTAGAACTATCCTAGCAGTTCTATGTGTGGTCCTATTTTAAAAGATGGTCATTTAAATGTTAGCCAAAGAAAAACATAAGGAAAATGTTTTGTAAAAACACTGATTGGACTGGTATTAGGAAGTGCAGGATATATGCAGCAGTAAAATCCAGGGACATTAGCTTTTACTAAGTAAACAAAAACATCTTGCTATTCAAGATCACAATTGAAATCAATAGAAATAGAGATATGAATGTAAACATGATTATATAAGACTTGTATGTTTTGACCGAAGAGTAATGGAGTATAGTGGTTTAGAGATGAACACCAGCGCCAGACTGCCTGGATTCGGATCTTGATTCTGACCTTGTACTTGTGTGACCTTGAATACATTGCTGAATGTCTCTGTACCTTGCTTTCCTCTTTAGTGAAATGGAGATAGTAATATCATCCTCAGAAGATTGTGGTGAGAATAAAATATACAGCTAAAGTATATAGCTAAAGTACTTTGAACACTACTTAACACAGTAAGTGCTTAATAGCTATTAACTGCTATAATGTTTATCATTACTGTTATTAGTTGCAGAGATAGAACTCCAAAATAGAGTATTTCCCCTGATCACTTTTTGCGATTCGGGTGTACTGCCGCCAACTAAGAGCGATACTTTTAGGTGGATGAATTTTGGCCTGATACCTAGATGTCATTAATTAAATCTCCAAATAAAAAAATAAAATCTTCTTAAGATAATGAACATTATAAATACTATACTAATGACAGCAAGATATAAATAAAATTTGAAATCTCTGTACTACTGATGGATGATCTCTAATATAATAAAGTAAAAAAATGAAGGTGAAAAATAGTGTGAATGACATACATTTGTAGAAAAAAAATAGTGAGGACATGTGTGTTTGTGCTTGGGTATACACCAGCGGTTCTCATCTACGGGTGATTTTGGTGATGCCTGGAGACATTTTTGGTCATCACAGCTGGGCATGGGGGTGCTTCTGGCATCTAGAGGATAGAGGCCAGGGATGCTGCTTAATATCCTGCGGTGCACACGACAACCCTGACGACCAAATTATCTGGCCCAAAATATCAGTGGTGCTGAGGTTGATTTACATAGAATATCTCTAGAATATCTATTCTGAGTATATGTTATATACATAAAATATCTCCAGAAAAATACTTAAGAAACTGATCAAACAGTGATCGCCTCTAGGGAAAGGAGTTAAGTGACTGGGGAACAGGATGAGAAGAAAATTTTGCTTTTACTATAGTCTCTTTGTACCTTTAAAATTTTGTACCATGTGCATTATGTCCTATTCAAAAAAAATGTTCAAAAGCGAATTTTAAATCTTTTTCTTGACTCCATTTACCTCATTTACTGTTATTTCTGCTCTCCTTTGCTACAAAACTCAAAATTTCTATACAAACTTATTTTAGTTCTCCTGTTCTCTCTTTTTAAAAACTTTTAACATTCTTTGAATGTCCTGCTTAGTTTCTCAACATCTCAGCTGCCTTTTCTAGAGTTGACAGTCAATGGGGGAAAAAGCCCCAAATGTCAGACTCACTTCCCTGGATTTCCTTATCCCTGTGACTCTGTAGTTCTTTGCTGTTTTGTTAGCCACACGATAATATCTTTGAGCAATAACCACCCCCCACTCCCACCCCCAATATTTTGTCCTGGTTTTCTTAGCAATAGAGATGGTTGAAATTAGCTAGTCCACCATTACTGAAAGCAGAACTCTGCCTGTAATCTTTTTTAAAAGTAAACTTTATTGAGGTATAATTTATATACAATACAATTTACCCATTTCTGAGGGTACAGTTTCATGAGTTTGGACAAATGTATATATACCTTTGTAACCATAATAACCATGATAAAGAAGTTTTCATCACTCCAGGGAATATTCTTGAGTCACTTCCCTGTCAGCTCCTTTCCTTTCTCCCCGCTGCCCATCATGTTTTCTGGTGCCAGACAGCCACCGATCTGTCCCTGTAGATTAGATTTGTATTGTCTATTCCGTCTGGCTTCTTTTCTCAGCATGCTTCTGAGTTCTGTCCATGTTGTTGCATTTATCAGTAATTCATTTCATTCCTGAGTGATATTCCATTGTATGAGTATGACACAGTTTGTTTATCCATTCACCTGGTCATGGACATTTGGATTTTTCCAGTTTTTGTTGTAGTCGGGCCTTCCTGAAGTAATATCGAAATGCAGTCAGTAAAATGTTTAAAGTGACCCTTGTATTATTTGTTTAAAGGGACTCTTGTGTTATTTGTCAGGAAGGTAGTAAGTGCATGACAGATTCCAGCAGTGATACCTTGTCCTCGCACAGCCCTGTCCACAGATTCATCTGTGCAAGTTGATTCTTTTCTGCAAAAGACATAGAGTTATCTTAGATCATGGACAGCAGAAGTTACTAATCTGTAGATTAAGTTCCACCTCAAGACCACTAGAGGGTACCGGTAGCCCTGTGGTAGGGGCGGTGCAATTGCTGTCCTGCTTCCTGTCTAGCTCAGTACGTCCCAACCAGGCCTTGCTAATTACCAGTCTCAGTACTGAAAAGCCTTTAGAATATTTCTTTAAGGGAAAACCTGTCCAAGAAATGGACCTGGAAAGCTAATAAATTATTTTTCTGCCATGTGATCTTTAGTAAAAATCCACTTCATCTAAGTGAAATTTTGGCCATATTAAAGCTGACAAGCAAACGACATAATAACCTAGTAACATTTTTTTGCTATAATAATATTTTTACTTCCTTAAGATTGCTTACCAAATTTACACAGTTTGCCTTTTGATTAAGCAGAGATTCCATACTGCTTTCTCCTAGAATCTTAAAAGGTTCTAGAAGTAAACCTTATCTCCTTATGGAATACAAAAATCAGTATATTCTTTAAAATTTCATTTTAAAAAATTGTCCTGTCTCACTTAGTTACTGTGTGCCAGACTCAACTTAGCTTTTCGGTGGACTTATCTCCTGGTTTTAGGAAATGTTTGTTACTTCCATTAGATATTTTGTTCCTTGTGACTTTCAATATTTTTGGAAATAAACTGGATGCTGATAACCTGTCATCCACAAAGGTGTGGTTTGGGATGGGGATCTTCAATTTTTTTGCTCACATTTCCTCTAAGGGAATTTTTAAAAACTGCTCACATTTTTATATTAACATCTATGGTATTTTTAATCATAGCTTTAAGTAGTTGCAAAGTACTATAATTTCTGGCTTATTGGGAAATACTGGCATTTTAAAATAAAATCAATGGATGATAAATACCAGAGCAGTTGATACCCATTGTTATCTATTTAGAAATAGACAAGTCTTTCCTTAATAGTCAGAAATGTTATATTTTATAGTTCCTTTCCATTGCATATACCCTGTAGTATTTTACGTTAATATATTTGTTTGCTTAAACTTCTTAAAATTCATCACCCTATCATATTTTTCTGCCACAAAACAAATACATATAAATTTTTGGTTTATTTCTAGTAACCTCAAGGCTTTACATATAAATATTTTTTCTTTAGATTGACATTAAAATTAGTAGGTTACAATTAATAGTACCAAGAAACATACATTTTGATAATTATTAGAACAGTAAACTCTTTTTGGAAGTGCGTCTCTTGATGAGTTAGATTGGTATGGGGAATGGGGCTGCTTTTGCTGTTTGATTAGAAGACACTTCCCTGACACCAGTACTTGGGCTTGTCCCTATTTATCTCTGGTAAGAGAAGAGTTGTACCTTTCTTCTGTAAAGCAGGAGGAGGACACATGGGAGACGTGAAGAAGGAGAATCAGATTGATGCATCCACTCAGAATCAGAGCAGTTTTAGGGAAGAATGCATATGGACAAGCAGGTAGAAACTGATTCCCTTAAGGTCTGCCCTTGCTCGGGATTTTGGGAACTCTGTACGCTCAGAAGACGGAGAAGCTCCCAAGGGGATTCTTAACGTCCTCTGAAGTGGGAGGGCAGTTCTGTCAGGGACACAGTGGTTAAGAACATGCACTCTTACTCAGACCTGACTGAGTTTGAGTCCCATCATAGCCACCTCCCAGAAGTGCCTTATTCAACCCCTCTGTGCTTCAGTGTCCTGTGAAGTAATTTTAATAATCATAGCATCTACCTGATAGGGTGGTTGTAAAAAGAAATACAGAAATGCTTAGAAAGCTTAGTTCAATGCCTAGTACTGAACGCATCTTCAATTAATAATAGATTCTTTAAGCTGATAAGTTGCTAGGTGATTTGTCTTTGAGACATCAGATTGAGAATATTACATGCCATATGAAGTGTTTGGTCACAAAAGGCAGAGAAAAATTTACTGGTGGGAAGTCTTTGAAAAAAAACCTCAAGCTATTCTTGGGAAGTGACTGCAGAAGAGAGTTTCAGGTTATCGATACAATTAATTCATGCAAAGAATTGTCTGAAAGCATTTTTAAAATAATTTTTTATTTTGAAATAATTACAGACTTATAGGAAGTTGCAAAAACAGTACTACAAAGGGCCCTGAGTACCGTTCACCCAGTTTTCCCCAATTGTGGCATCTGATATAGCTGTAGTATACTATCCAAACCAGTAAATTGACACTGGTGTTGACTGTTAATTAGGCCAACAGACTGTATTCAGTTTTCACCATTTTTTTAGCCTCATTCATTCATTTGTGTGCGTATCTCTACGCACTTTTATCACATGTTTAGATTCCTATAGCCACTGCTATAATCAAGATACAGGATTGTTTCATCACTACAAAGGAGCTGCCTCATGCTGCCTCTTTGTATTCACATCCACCTTCCCTCCCTCTAACCTCCAACACCCCACTTTCATCTCTGTCCCCTGGAAACCATTTATTCTCCATCTCTATAGTTTTGTTATTTCAAGAATGTTATGTAAATGGAATCGCATAGTATGTAGATTGACCTTTTCTCCAAGCAGAATGCCTTTGAGGTACATCTAGGATGTGGCATGTATAGAAAACTCATTGCTCTTTATTGCAGAGTAGTGTTCCAAAATAAAGATACCAGAATTTGCTCATCCATTCACCCATTGAAAAATTTGGATTATTTCCAGTATTGTACTATTAAAAATAAGGCTATTATGAACATTTGTATGTAGGTTTTTGTGTGAACACAAGGTTTCATTTCTCTTCCTCAAAGATTTTATAAATTTCTGAAGAGTAGCCATGTCTAATTTGTACCACACAGTTTAAAAGTATTTCTAATCATTTGATTAGAGTTCAGTAATAAATAATAGGACTCCTAAATATTTTATTTAAATAAGACCATGTCATTGTAAGAATAAATAAGAATGGATTACAGAGTTTAATGTAATGCTTTTCATTGTTTTAAGACTCCTCAGACAACAAAGAAAAGAAATCTTTCAGCCTTGAAGAGAAGTCCAAAATCTCCAAAAACCGTGTTCATTATATGAAATTCACAAAAGGTAAAATTAAGCGTTTCTTTGTTGTTGAAAACTCCTGTGTTCACACTGAGTTTCTTAAAGCATTCTTAGCTCTTCAGCGTCGCTTCTTGTTTTACATAGAAATGGGAACTCATGGATGGTTTGTCTGGATTAATCTAAAGCAGTGCTTAACTTTCAGCAGTTTTGGGGAATCTTGTTAACAGGAGCAGATTCAGATTCATAGCCCTGAGGTAGGGCCCTGGATTTGTTTAGACTATGTACAAAGTCCTTCAGTGAAGCTGAAAGCAGAAGTCAACTTGCTCTTTAGAGGAGAAAAGGAACTTTATATGGCTAGGTCAGAAAACAAATTTAATTTATTGCTCAACATTTTTTGTTACATTTTCTTGTTTTTCAGAGCTTAATGTTGGTGTCGAAAAGCTCTGAAAAGGTGTCCATTTAGAGAATTATGCTTTTTATTGAGAACTCCGGTTTGGGAAATCTCACTCCCGAGTTGACTCTTAAATTATTCCACATCATTTCTTCATTTCGTGGAGTGCTGACTTGGCATCCCATGGTCAATGCGAAGACAATGTTAGAAATCATGAGAACTGGGTGGTAAATCCTGTCTTCCTTACTCCCTTCCCAGTACTTATGGTCAATTGTGAGCGCAGTTGTCCTTTTTAACCACTAAGTGGCAGTCTTGTATTGCTAAGAAACAATTTAACGTGAACTCAACTCCAAATGTTTTCCTGTAGAACAGTGTTATTATGCATTGTGTGCACTTTCCAGGCACAAAAACCTACTTATTACATAGTATACTTAAAGTATTAATATGATAATTTATGCTGTGATATTTAGTCACCACTGGATGATTCATCTGTACAAGATTAGATGTACCTTTCTACCTCGAAATGGCAGGAAAAGCACACCTCTTTGCTTTAGTCTTGATGGCCTGATTGGGAATTCCCTAACTCCTAGAACCTGCCTGAATAGCAGTGGCAGCTGGAATTCTCACTACTTTAAACCATTAATGGTCGTTCTCATTTGGGTCCAGGACCCCAAAAGGTAGGAATGGGTTTGGTTTAAATGAGAGCCTATGGCAGAGCTGAATAGTGTTTGGGAGCCGAATGGCTTTCGTCATGTTTGCAGGAAGAGACTGGGGCTTCCCCCTTCGCTCTCCCAGTAGATGTGGTTGCATGACTCTCGTGTTGTCCTTTTTTTTTCTCTCAGGCTAGAACCTTCTTCGTTGCTTTTCTGTATGGCTTCCAATTCGGGTTTCTGTCTACCCCCTGCCTGCTGCAGAACAGAAGGTAGTCCTTGTTGGCCCCTCAGTCCTTTTGAAGAGAGGCTAACTGGTCACTTCATACCCAATCCCTTATATATTCCTCCTTTATTTTTAATTAGACCCTATAGAAAGAAGTAGAGATAGAGCAGAAGGGTGTTGAGCAAATTAATGCAATTAAAAGTGTCTATAACTCTTGAGTGGTATGGTAGCCTTTTTAGCTTTCACTCTTGCAAATAAAATCTTCTGATGTTCTTTTAGTACCTGACTACATGCATGAGTTCATCCGAAGCATTTGCTGAAGCTGGGATAAACCTCTTTAGTCTACTTTAATCTAATGGGTGCTGGGAGTATCTGCTTTTTATTTCTAGTTAAGCTACTCCCTTGCCCGTTGACCCTGTCAACCTGCCTGGTGTGTCGTGCCTTCATTTTCTCTCTTTTAAATTGAGGCGTGCTTATTTATTAGCTTTTCTTAGGGAGAAGTGGGGCACTGGTATGATGCAAAGAGAGTTAGGTAGCAGAGGAAACTGAGAAAACAGAGGAAATGCAGACTGGGAATAAGTTGAAAAAATGGGAGAAGGAGGCAGAAATCCAGGTAGTAAAGAAAGTCATTATTTACCACCTATATTAACAGTCCACAGGGAAAGTTTATTTTAAAGTCTTTAATTTACTAAAAGAAAAATTTTCGTGTAGCACAGCTATTGTCACTGGACATGAATGATAAACTCTTGAGTTTCCTCTAAGGTAGACTCTCTTAGGTCACAGGAAACCTGGGTACTGGCCATCACTCCCAGACAAATCACTTAACCACTTCCCTTCTTTCAGACTCAGTTTCCTCTTTTGTAAGATGAGGAAAGATTTTTAAGTCATTATTGAGTTCTAAAATAGGTTCTATTTTAACACTTGCCAGAAATGACTCCATTATATGGAACGTTTGATTGTTCAGCATTATGGATAATAAAGATTTTAGCCCATGGGTGTGCTCATAATGGAAGTAAGTAATTTGCTTATTGGATGAGAATGATTCATATAGTAACTCCATCTATGGTCTAGAAAACTAATAACTGAGAAGATGTCATTTTATATAGCTTGGTGTGAAGAGTGAAGGTAAAATCTTTACTTCAGCGAGGTTACAGTAGCAATGGCATTGTAAAATTTGCGACTGCCTAAGTATTGGCTGTATCATTTTAGTTCTGACACATAATTATTTTTTTCTCTAGTCCTAAATTTATAATTTTATATTTGAAATAATTATGTACTTTTAAAAGTTAACTTCATTCATATTTGTTTAAAAGCCAAACTTCAAATAGTTTATTTTAATTCAAAAAATGTTTGGCAATGCTATATCTGCAGAGAGGAAACAATAGGGAAAATATCAATTTCTACCAAACCGTTGAAGTTTTTCTCTATACAGTAAGCAGTTGCCAAGAGACATTCATTGCTTTTTCCCCCAAGCTGTGCAATGGGTAGATGAAAAGTTGCAGAAACTGTACTTGTGCAGTTTTATCATGATAATTTGCTCAGACTTCTTATCCTTGTGACAATTTGTAGTATTTTGTTTCTTAAACAAGGAAACTACATGGACAACACGTGTCCTGGTAGTTGGCTTGCTCGTCTGGAAACAGACTGTAGTATTCCTAGCGTGGTTAACTCCTCCCCACACTGTGCCTAGTGATGGGCAATGAAGTTCCTCTTCTGAGTCTTTTGACATTTAAATATAAAGTAGCACCATTGCAGGCTTTAAAAAAATTTCGTCTTATTATTATTTCTCCCCCTTCTCTGATTCTCTCACATTTTCTGGTTTTCTGACATTATCTTTGCAGTGAAGTTGTCATAATCTTCTGTCCCAGGCTTATTATTGGCCTCATGTGTTTTCACGTAAAAAAAAAAAAAAAAAAATCAAAATATAATATTATTTGTTTTATCCTTGATAGGGGAATGCAAATAAATTTTCCAGGCAAGTGAAACTACCTACATAAGCCTTAACATTTTAATAAGCTTATTTCTCAAACCTGCATTTCTTTGCCCTTGCCTCTTTATCTGAGTAAAAAAACTCCTGAGTTTTTGAGTTTCAGTTATCATATAATATTTTATAGTTTTCTCCTTAGATCTTGTTGGGTTCTATATATGACTTTTGCCTTTAAACTAAAAGGCTCCAAATCTCTGATTCTTAACTTCCTATGTTTATTTTTCATAGTTTCATTTGCTTCCCATGTGGACTTCTTGGTGTCGTATGTGTGTCTGGCTGTAGCAGTAACATTCCTCCCTTCTAATTTGCTACTCTGATAGACTGGAAAACCTGATACTCATGATTATTAGAAAAGCAGCTGAAATGATCATAAACAAAGTGCTCTTCTATCTGCTCATCCTTTCCTGGATCTTTGTTACATCAACTTGGAAGCCCTTTTTTCCTGGTTCTCAAAATGTTATGGCCAATTGAAGACTAATAGATACAAGATCCAAAACCAGACAGATAACATGTTTCTTAGTCTGTTCAATTTTTTGATTGTCATTTTCTCTGAGATCTATCAACAATATTTTCTGTGATTTGACTGTAATTCAGAACTGAGACCAAATAGCTTTTAAACTCATTTATGTATATTTTATTTAAAAGTGGCCATAATTTCATGACATTTGTAAACTATTCAACCAGGACTATTAACAAATAACTATTTCAGTATTGCTTCCATCTTCCATTTTTACCTGCCTTGGAGTTCCTTTCCATTGGTCTCTGACTCTTAATTCTTCTCTGTGTTTTGTTTTCCAGATCAAATCCAGAGCAAGGCCTGTAACAATCCTGGTTTCTACATTTACTTAAGTGAACTTTGCTAAAGGATAAAAATTTCTGAAACAAGAACCCATCACCAAAACTTTAGAAACACTTGCACCTTCATTGGTATAGCTTACTGTCTCTACTAGCTTGGCAGTTTTCCTTTTGATGTTTAGATTTGTTTTTGATCTCTGCATGTTCATATTTTGGCGTCCTATTTTAAAATTGTAATCTTTCATGTACTCTCCCTTCCTTAATCCCCCCAGCATTCCTTGTAGTTGAATTGCTGTAAAAGAGGTCTGAATTTGCATTTCTTTTAGGCTTTCTGTTCCATTTCAGAAGATAGTTTAGGATAGATGGCCAATACATATTTTGAACTAAGTACAACTCCTTTTTCTGAAATAGAAACTGCAACCCTGAAAGTGCTCTGCAGTGCAAAATGGGTTATGCTAATGACAAAGCTAAGAATAGGTCTCCAGACCTTCTGAGGGTTTGTCCACTTCTCCCCACAACGACCAATTTTATTCCCCACTTTTCTGGTTTATTTTCTGAGTTCCTATCTAGGACATGCTTCATTTTGTTCTTAAGTCAGTTTCCTTTGTGGTCTTTTGTCTGGGTTCTACTTAATAATCCATTAGAACCAGGAAGCCTTCATTTCTAGCTTGGGACTAAAAGGGAGAGCAGAGTAGAGCCACAGAGGAGCATGTCCTTCCTGATGAGAACAGGCCGTACTGACTGGACCATTGAATATGGTGCTGCTGCCTCTGAAACTTGTTTTGGCACCTGGCTTTGCATTAAATTGAAAGGTGCTTTGTTTTTTAATTTCATGGAGTCACTGAGCAATATCATATTTGAATGCCCCGGTGATAGTCAGTGAACTAGAACCTTCTGGGTCATGACATTACTTTGCCAAGTCAGTTTGCTACAGGAAACCAAGTGAGTCAATGACAGTGGAACTCAGGCTTCCAACTCAAAACAAAAATTCCTGTGTCTAACCCAGAGCCACACTCCCCCAGAGCCTCAAAACTTTACATGTAGTAGTTACATTTTAAAAGGCATTTACCATGAAGTTGACAAATGGAAATACATTTGGTTGATTGCTCATAGAGTATTTTTGGTAGAAGTGGTAATTCCAAAGAAGTGCATTTTAAATTAGTTTATGGGTTTGAAATTAAGTAAAAAAGTTTAGTGTTTTTAATAAGAATCATGGGTCCTTTTGCCACTGCTCTTGCCAGAAACCATTTAATTTCCTGCTCTTACCATGTATCCTATTATTTAAGGCTGATATAGCCATAACAAAAAACATTTCAAAAGAAAAACCTAAAACTCTTTCACCCTAATACAATAATTTTTATTTGCATTTATTCTTTTGAAATTTTCATTCATTTTATTAATTATTGAGCTCCTGTGTGTCAAATACAGTATGTTCTCATTCATGCGTGTATGTGGGGTCTTGAGGCTTTATCTGTATTTCTTAATCCTAAGTAAGTAGCTCATGTCGCCTTAAAGTAAATAAGATTTATTTTATAAATGGGAAACCCAGAGACCCAGAAATTATACCTCAAAGGCATACCAGTAGTAGAGGTAGCTTTAGAATTTAGTTTTTCTCTCAGTCTACATGCTCTTGGTTGTTTCTACCATTAAGAGAATGTCATAGATTCTGGTTCTCAAACACTATTTGATTTTTAAGTGATTTTAAAATTTAGTTGATTTTATTAAAGAGTTGTAGTCTGTGAAGAGGAGATAGTCAATAGTTTACAAAATTGTTTCTTTTCCAAAACCCATTTTACTTCCAGAAGTTTTATAGTTTATATGTGCACTCCATATTTTTGAAAGAATAGTCTTACTAAAAGGCATTGTGTTGTTTTTCTAGGGAAGGATCTGTCATCTCGGAGCAAAACAGATCTTGACTGCATTTTTGGGAAAAGACAGAGTAAGAAGACTCCCGAGGTATTAAGGCACATACAGCTGTTATTTTCTGTTTCCACGCGATTTTCAACTGTGTATAGAACTATTTATCACAAATAGTTTTCAGACAAAGCTACCAAAAAAGAACTTTTAGAGGCTTTTAGAGGCTTCTTACAAAGGCTAAATGTGATCTTCTTAATAATAATAATTCGTAGATAATATGTTTTATAGGGAATCTGAAAAAGGATATGTATTAACTGGGTTTCTTGTTATTGTCCTATGAGATGTAGACTATAGCCTTAGGGATGAATCCTGTTGCTGATCTATTCAGAGGGGAAGATCTCTCTCCCATCTCCAGGAGAGGCAGAGGCTGCATGCGTCGATTTCGTTTGCTTTGCTCAGACTGCATCACTCTATTTGGAATATGACTTAGGGAGGAAGAATATCTTATGCGTACTCCAGTTCTGGTCTGTTCCATTTTTAAAACATTTTGAAATGGTGTTGGATCAGCGTTGAGAGTCTGGAAGGGATTTAGATGTAATATTTCTTCTATTGTATAATGCTGTTTTTTTCAGAACTAGAAAATAAGGATAGGGTGACCAAACTGCACCCTAAATGGAATGAATCTATAATTTATAATCATAATTATTAAATTGGGCTGTGTAATCTAGAACAAAAAATTTTGCACCATTTTCAATTATAAGATACAGCCCAGGCTGTAGTGTATATGTTGATATTAGAATTTTTTAAATGTGGATTTTTAGAGCTAATGAGATAAAAATATTTCAAATTAACATTGTCTATGCAAGTCTGGAATATATGGTTGCTCCAGCTATCACTTAGCTAATCTAGTATGTCATACTTATGTTCCTGTATTGGTTCCCAGTCAAGGCCCTTGATGACTATAGAACAAAAAAGACTCGTTTCATTTATTTCTGCTATTTCTCCTGACTGACACATTTTTCTAGGTTGGTAGCTATGTGTTACTTAATATTATTTTCAAAGATTCTGGAATTACCAGTTGTTAGAAATTTTGTTTGGCGATTTCCTTTGCAGGTTAGGACTAAATTTTTAGTACTTCAGCATTCTTCTGTCCCTATAGCTTTATCCCTGAGGACCAAGGAAGCAGGCCCCGGCCAGAAGGGAAATGTGGGCCCAGGGCTTGCCGAGGGGTGGTGCCTGTGGGTCTGTGCTGAGTCGTATCATAGGCAGGTGGCTTCTGATATTGGGCCACACTAGATGCTTCATTTACCAGAGGCTGTTGGAAAGAGCAGGGGTCATCAGACAGCCCCGCTTCTGGTTGCATCTCTACCTCTCAGTGGTTACTGTATCACCTGGGTTAGGCCCTCTGCCTTGTTTGCTAAGGACTTTGCATCTGGCTTATCTGTCTTCCTCTTGAACACCTCTCCTTTGACCAAAAAAAACAAAAAGTGATTTCAGGATCCTTTTGGAGACTCTGTCACCTCTGTTCTGCCCTAACAGCCCCCTCCTGCAGCCACACTGAACCTTTGCTTTAGCCCCACATCCCACCGTGGAGCCCTGATGCTAACCCTCCTGTTCTAGCTCTCAGGCTTGCATTCAGGTTGCACTGGCTTTTACCAATCCTAGCATTCTTGGATTCCTTGATCCTCCCTTTTCTCCCTGCTGCCAACCCTACTGCCCCTAACCGTCATCTCTCCAACACTCTCTTTGAAATTTTACAGTTGAGCAGATCAGGGAAGGAAATATTATTTATGGGCTTTTGGTAGAACTTTAAAGGAATTTACATGGTAAGCACAGGAAAGTTTTTCATTATAGAAGATCAGAGATTTCTAATCCTCTGGCAGACATCTACATGCTTGAGGACTTACTGGTGTTAGGTGTCAGGTGTCATGAGGTTTTCAACACTGTTTGGTGTTACTTTTTGGTGGTGTAATCATTTGTGATCATGTTAAAGTGAGTCAGTATTTGAGCTTCAGAAATAATTGCACACTACTAGCCCAGGGAAAGTTTATTTTGGTACACTTGGTATAGAAAAGACCAAATTTGATATAATACTATGTTTTGTGCAAGATTTATATCCGGGTATATCTCAACCTCTCATTCTAGTTTAATGTTTTCTTCTGATGATGCATTTAAAATTCTAATTGTTTGGAGGAGACAGTTTTCTATCACTGTACAGCTCTCGATCTTTAGCAGTGGTTCTCCACAACCTTTTGACTCCAGTCACCTAAGGAGCTTTTAAGCAGCGTTAATGCCAGGGTCCTACCCCAGACCTATCAAATTCAAATCTTGGGTGAGAGTCCAGGCTTAAGTATTCGAAAAAGAAGAAATTTTGTTAATTAAAAAAAAAAAAAAAAGCCTGCCCAGATGATTCAAGTGATTATTATGATGTCTAACAAAAAATAAGAATTGAGACCCTCTAGTGGAAGCCCTGATATGTAACTGTATTGGTAGAGCTTCTGGCCTCAGGGTCACGAAAATCTCCTAGGACAGGGCTTCTCACATCTTAGTATGTACGCACATCTGGGAATTTTGTTAAACTGCAGATTTTGGTTCAGGAGGGTGGGGAGGACCCCAAGATTCTGCATTTCTGGGAGTTCCCAGGTGGTGATAACGATGTTGGTTGTGCTGTGCTGTGTAGTCCACACTGAGTAGGTAGGACCTCTGCAGTATTTTACATTTGACACACACCTGCATGTATGTATAAGATAGAATGTATTTAAATCTAATCACACTTTCAGACACCAAATAAGAAGTCTTTCTGCAAAGAAGAGTCACCTTTAAATTTAAATTTTACATATATGTGGATTTTCATATATAGAGTTTGCTTTTATTGAGGCACACCTGTACCTTCCCCAAATACCCTGTTGCTAAGAAACCTTACCGTGTTAGTTACAACAGCCTGTATAGCCAAGGGCAGGAGGCCTTTGATCAGATTTGTTGGAAAATACAATCTCTTTTGGCTCCTGTTCACAGCTAGAAAGAATATTGCTTTGTTCTCACTCCCTTGACCCCCATAGCAACATTGGCCTGAATTTGTATTTGGCATTGCCAAAGCAAAGGTGCTGCTGGAGGTCAAATACCTGAAGAACCTCAGAAACCAGGGCAGCATCTAGTGTTAAAGCAGTTAAGACCTTGCCAGGTGCTCTGCATAAGGTGCTGATAGTGATCCTTACTTTGCAGCTAGATGTAAAGAACCTTGGGCATTGACTACCTCTGGGTTGGGGCAACATCATATCTCTCACATTAGCCCAAGCTTACTAATTTCTACAACCCCTGACTGTTATAGTAATAGAATTACAACTTGATTAAGCATGCGCGTGTGCTAGACATTGTGCCAGACACTTACGATAGTATCTCATTGAATCCTTATAACAATACTGTGAAGTTGCATTATTAGCACTCTTTTAGCAATGAGGAAACTGAGACCCAGCAAGGTTGTTACAGAGCTCCAAAATGGCACAAATAGAATTTAAATCCAGGTCTCTCTGATTCCAAAGTCTGTGTTTTTTCCCCTCTACCACAATACTACCAATGTCAATGAACTTTTTTGCATTTTAAGAAAATCTACATTTAAATGATTTTAGTTATGCTTTAGAAGTTTTCTTTGAGATTTTTTTTTTTTTGTCAAAGACAAATAGTTAATGCTTTATCATAATGTTGTAGGAAAATGATTGGCTTTTATTCTCATTTTGCTGAAAATAATGATTTAACTTTTAAAACTTCTCTGCTTTGCCTTCAGTCAGAGTTGAACTGTTATGGGTCAGAAGCATATTATAAATGTCTGGGCTAGCTTTGGGAATGATTTTACTATGTCATTGGAACTGTAGGCTGATGTAAGAAAGAGCTAGCTTGAGGTCTTGGAGCATAGATGCTGTGTTATTTGTACATTTTCTGGTCTCTCAAATGAATTGAATGATCTGAATATATTTATATTCAAAAAACATCAGTATCCTTTAATAACAATCATGAGGTCTTTTTGCTTTTTATTTTTTAAAAGAGCTTTTTCGTTTTGAAATAATTATAGGTGCACAGGAAGTTGCAAAGATAGTTCAGAGGGATTCCATTCGCCCTTCACTCAATTATCCCAGTGGTGCATGTTACATAAGTAGTACAGATGGAAACCAGGAAATTCACATTGGTACAGTCTTTGTGCCTAGTTCTGTGCCACTTTCTCACACTTGCGGATTGTGTAACCACTGTCTCAATTAAGAAGCAGAACTGTTCCCCCGCCACAGAGGTCTCCATCATGCTGCTTTCATTATAGTCACATCCCCTCCACCACCATTTCTAACCCCAGCAACCACTGTTGCCAACAGAGTTGTCTAATTTGAAATACAATATTTGTGAAGCATCTGATCTCTTGGTTTGATACTGAGTCTGCTCATATCAGTAACGATGAATACCCAGGCTTTCAGGGCTTGTTGTAGTCTCTATGACCTACCTTCTGCACTTATCCAGGCGAGATTTTATGACTTCTGTCTTACGGGTCTTTAGAGGAAAACTCGTAGAAATCAGATCATTTGATGTCTTTTAAGTACAAGCCTATTAAGTCATTTACTTTAGTAATTTCAGAAGTACATCAAACTGTAAAGTGATAAATAAATGCAAAGTGGTGTTATTATGTGACAGGTTTGTCATCTATAACACATCAGTATAGGAGAGCTCCCTGGTACACTCATTATAGTGAAGTTGGTAAATTCCTTTAAATTGCATACAAAATTTGTTTGTGGGCATGTGTGCATGTGTTTATGGGTATATAAAGTTCAGTGCTTTTAACAGATTTTCAAAGGAGTCATTGATCAGAAAAGAAGCTTTAAAATCGAGACTGCATAAAAAAATCTCTTCCTAGTCAAAAAAGAAAATCACTTAAAATGAAAATTTTCTTTGTGAGAGTAGTAGGAATGAGCCTTGTATTGTATAATAGAACAAACTGTGCCAAACCAAGAATCTTGTTCCTTAATTATTTTCCATATAATATATGGAAATAAAAAGGAAATAACATCAAAACAAAACAATCCAAGCTAAACCTAAGATGGCTAGGGCACATTTATAAAATT